TAAAATTGGTTTGATTTGTCTACAAGGAGCTTTCCTTTTACACCAGCAGGAGGCTCTATGATAAAACAGGTTTGGACATGTATGGAATTGAAAGTCACACTTGAATAAATCTAAAACAGCGTGTGGGGTAAAGTGTGCCTAATGAGTTTATTTTAAGATTAAGGAGTTTCCTTATCCAAATTGTGTTGGTGTTATATATTGTACATTTGGAATAGCGCTGTTTGACAAATGTGTGATAGAGCTTTATTAATAAAGGTGATTGATGTTTCTGATTGTAATCTGAATCTTTATTTGACTTTTGAAAAGCTCAACAAAAATAAATGCAACCTTAGAGTACACACCATTTGAAATATTGTGTGAATCTTACATTTAAAAAAAACAAAAACATTTGTAATTAACATTCAATAGCACGTAATAATAGCTGCATTCAAGTTTACATTGGATCGCTTTCTTCACTGATCAGCAGTGTTAGTGAAGCCAGAGAACATCAGAATCAAATTACACTTTGAAGAGATGCTAAGGTCTGCCAGGTAAAGACTTCCATTCAAAAAGTATAAAAGCGCCCTAGCAGCATAAAGTGCGTAATGGGGCTTCAGGTGAGTAGAGCATCCTATTCTCTAGCTCAGTGGTTCCCAAACCTTTTGTGCCCAAGGCACACCAAAGGACAAGTAAAAATCTCAAGGCACACCTATTGTGCAAAATAGCCCTTATAACACGTGTTATCACTCATATCATGTAAAATATCTGTAAATGTGCATAATTATTTACTAATGCCAAATAAAATGTGACAAAGACAACTATATTACTCATGAAATATTTATTAACAAAATATTTCAGAAATTAATTTGAAACTTTATCAAATTAGGCTTCATCAAAGCAGCAACACATTCATTTAAACCAGACAGGTCACAACATAAAAAATGAGGCAAAGGAAACTCAGCAGAAATTCAGCACAGAGAACTGTCAATGCAAGGAAGCTGCATTGTCCATGGTCCTGAACTACAAATTATAAATGTAACATTTCAGCAATCAGCATTGAAACATGTGCTATTGTAAATATTTTTGCCGACTTACAAATTAGTGAGATACATGTGCCTGTCGGGGCGCACATCATTTTGTAATCCTTGGTGGCACTGAGGAGAGGGCCACTCGCAAGTCCTGTTCAACAGAGAGCCGTGACCTCCTGTTGTTCTTCATGTAAATCAGAGTAGAGAACGCCAACTCCAGAGATGGGGTCGTTACTAAACAAATGTAATATATTACATATTACTTTTTTTTAAAAAGTAATATATTACACTACTTCGTTACTATCTACATAAAGTAACTCGTTACTTTACTCGCCGAGCACGTACGAACTGCGCATGCGTGAGTGGCAATAACTTTCCTTACCAGCAGGCGGCGGTAGTGTGTATTTGTCATTCAAAACAGGCAACAACCGGAAGACAGAGAAGAAGAACAGACTACGTGATATAAACAAACAACAAATAGCGTGTGCGTTAGCTTCACCTTAGCATGTGTTCTTTGCAGGTGTTTGTTGAGGTTGGACGTGGTGTTTACAGCAGTGGATAACAGCTTCTGGCCTGGACACAGTTTGCACCTCACCGTCATATTCCTGTCTATTCTTCGGACGAACTCAAAATAATGGGCATACCTCCACCCCTCGAAAGTTATCGCTGACTCAGCCATGTTTATGCAGCACTGCACATGGAGATGTGGACGCGCAAGTCGCACAGATTACGTACATATAAACCTACAAAGTACTGATATAGTAAATTAAAAAATAATTATTTTTGTGTAGTTGTATATTGCAATAATAACGTATGGTTGTCACAAAATCCCACGGCACACCCGGACTTGCCTCACGGCACACTGTTTGGGAACCACTGCTCTATCTGGTGCTGGACAGCATCACATTGACCAACAATTCACAAATCAACTCAGTGAAATACAGTCTTCAAAACAGCCTGTCCTCCTACGAAAAACGACCAAATAGGTCGATTGTTCAGCAGCTTATTACGACCCATAGTCACGTTTTAAAGTGTAGCACCTCTAGTGGTCGTGTAAGAAACAACATGCTCCCGTTGATTGCAAACGCTCTGGTGGGTCGTTTATTCACAAATAACCCTCTGTCAATCCTAAATTGTGGAATAGTTTGGCCATAAAAACGCTTTTTGATTCGATTTCTAGCGAGAAGTGTATATTGTACTTTTAGAATCTACGTCCAGTGGATGTGTAGGATCTATAGTTTGATAGATATTACGAAGATGATTTGAGGTCTCGCCAGGAGAACGTGTATATACTACGTCTTTCCCCTATTAATTTCTATTGATGGCAGCGTCCATGTAAAGTTGGCATCAACCCTCACGGGGTGAAAACAGTTTTTCCGGTCTCGAAGTTTTCATAATAACACCGGATATATTCCCCTCACTGTCAAATGATTACACAGTGATATCTGCATTACTCATCCACTAAAAAACATCAGTTTATCCTTGTTAATTACACAACATTGATTGTTTTAAATTGTGTACAGTGCTTTTGTGTTTTTAACCTTCGATTCGGAGAAACAAATAGTTTTTTCGGAGTTTAGACACTACAGAGTTTCCGAAGACACTACACTACCCAGAATCCTCAGCTATCGTTTGGGACTACAACATCCGCTTTGCTTTACAAACCCCGTGATTAGTCCTCAAGCTCTGTGATTGGATGTTGGAGTAGCAGTGCGACAAGGTTACGCCGAGCGTCAAACAGCTCTTTGAAATGGAATGTAACCACGGCAGACTATCCAAAACTGGACTCGAACGGATCCAGCCCAGCCCCCGCCCAGCCCCCGCCCAGCCCCCACCCCTCCCCCCCAGAACTACACATGCTGGCTATTGTGTTTCGCAACATGTTCAATGGCACGTCTCTACTGGGAATTGTAGTTTTAAAATACGTTTTCGTATTTCCCATAATTAGAAGTTGACAGTATTAAACTGTGTTTAATACGTAAAGTACTTTGTCAGACTTAATATTTATCTGTTGATACCCCCAAAGTTTTTTTCTTATTCAAAAGAAGACCTTAACTTAAAGTATTCTTTAATGTTTAAATAAAGCCTTATTAGTTTGTCTGTTTTGCACATCCTCCTGATAATATCTTTGGACGTCCTCCACTAGCTGTTTTATTGTAGAGATCACTTACAGTATCTTCTTGATATTTTCTATTCTATATTTCTATCATGCCTTCTACTTTCCCCCTAGTTTGTATGTAGGCTACTCTTAATATTTAAATGTTTTCATCAAATAAAACTTATTCAACAACTAAATTCAATAACTTGCTTTAACCACTAGACGGCGCGGGTTAAAAAAACAGTGGTCAAGTCAATAAAACATAATATCAAACATAATATTACTATTAACTTTATTGTGAAATTAAAACAGAACGGTAAAGGAAAATACAGTTTCAGTCTCTCGATTTGAAGCTTACAGTATGCATTGTACCATGAACCTGTATAGACCTGTAACAGTCAACTGCATGAGGAGTTGGAAAGGTAGTTTCTGAAGATGTTACAAATAACACACATCATACAATGCCATAATAACTTTGTATTATTAGTGTAGGACACGTATGTATGTATAACATCTGAAGATGTGTAGTTTTATTCATGTTTTCACATAATTGTACAGGATATTGCTATGATATTTCACATATTGTAGTTCTATAGAATTACAATATTATAGCTGATAATGTATATATATATATTATATATGATATATATAATGTCATATATCAGATATTAATGTGGAAATGTATACACATGGAAAACATCACAAACAGAAAGGTATATCCGTCATTTAATGGTAAGCTATTGAAATTGTGATTCCATAGATGTGTCTCCCATCGCCCAAAACCCTTGATTATTCTCTCAACTCAGTATTTACATTCTTATATTCAAAGAAAATCAGTAATATCTTTAAAAAATACAAGTCCTTTTCTATCAGCTGTGCTATTTACCAATTGGATGAAATATAAAAGTCAGCCGAATTAGTGTTGATACTGCAAGGAGACGTATTGTGTGAAAATAAATGGAAGATGTTGTTTAATTGCTAATATATTTATGATCCACGTCACGTATTCAGTTTTGGCGGCATTTCTTCCAGTTTGTCCAAAGGTCTTCTCATCAGGGCTCTACAGTGATTCTCAAATGGGGGTACGCGGACCCCCAGGGGTACTGCAGGGTGTACGTGAGATTAAAAAAATAAAATAAAAATCTTAGTACAATAAGTGAAATAGAAAACACAATTGTATATAAAATATTTCTAGAACCACCAAGGGGGTCCTCATATAAACATGTCAAATGTGTGTATTGTATTTTATAGTTTTTCATAATATATCATTTTGTTCATTGGTTTGTTAAACATATATATATATTACTTCAATTGAAAAACTCCTTGGAAAAATCGTTATGTATATGTTCTTTTTTTTCATGTACAAAGATGAAACAATCCTTAGTTTGTTGTAATTCATGCATGAAGGAGTTAATAAATCACACACTGATGGAACATCACTATATTGTAATTATGTTTATAGGCTTCTTCTATCACAGATGTTCGGGGTCGGTCAGGGGGTACTCGGCTGAGAATTTTTTTTAAAGGGGGTACATTACTGAAAAAAGTTTGAGAAGCACTGCTCTATAAATAGAGAACTACGGCAGATGTGTAATATTTAATGCAGCCGAACCGTGTATTACAATGCCGTTATGTGATGACTTCCAAAGAGAAAAGCAAGCACACTCGGAATAAAGTATTATTTTATTTTTTTGAAATGTTTTCGGATTTCATATCACACAAACACCATATCCCAACGTGCATTGCGGCTAAAACATCCAATCACCGAGCTTCAAGTACGATGTTTTAGCCTATCAAAACCTCTGAAAAAATAAATGTGTCTCAGAATCGGAAGGGAAAAACCTATGGGAAAAACAAAAAAGCATTGTACACAATTTAAACCAATTAATGTTGTGTAAAGGATAAACTGATGTTTTTTAGTGGATGAGTACTGCAGATATCACTGTTAAATCATTTGATCATTGGTTTTATTATGAAAACTTCGAGACCGGGAATACTGTTTTCACCCCGTGAGTGTTGACGCTAACTTTATATGGAAGCTACCGCATATACACGTTATCCTGGCGAGACCTCAAATCATCTTCGTAATATCTATCAAACTATAGATCCTACACATCCACTGGACGTGGATTCTGAAAGTACAATATACACTTCTCGCTAGAAATCTAAGCGTTTTAATGGCCAAACTATCCTACAATTTAGGATTTTCCAGAGAGGGTTATTTGTGAATATACGACCCACCAGAGCGTTTGCAGTCAACAGGAGCACTAGAGGTCGAAAACTTTAAAACGTGATTATAGGTCGTAATAAGCGCTTGAACAATCAACCTATTTGGTCGTAATAAGGGCTTGAACAATCGACCTATTTGGTCGTATGAGTTGGAGGACTTGTTGCTTCAAAATGGTTCTGCTGCCAGAATCTCGCTGTGAGGACTGCTAACAGGATGTCAGCCAAGGGTGTTGGAGACACTGTGCAGCGGTGGCCCTCCTCTCTGGATGGAAGTCCAACATGCGAAGAAGGAAGTTTGAAAAACCAGCGGCATCCTCCAACAGGAAGTTGTATTTCTCCACCAGAACGTCGTAGAGTCTCCAGAGCTTCAGTGGGCCCACACGACGAAGATTACCTAGAGGAAATGCAACCAGAATAGGGCATCTTTGCAATTTTAAAATGAATCAGTAGGGCAATATCAGGGGTGTACTGGTAGAGAAACTAGGGGAAGGGGGTTTATACAATATATATGACAGGCAGTTACGGTTTGGGATTGGGAGACTGTCATTACGTATAAAACATCACAACTCCAGGCCGGAATTAGAGGTGTCCTTTTAGTTGAGGGTCTCACAATTTTTTCAAAGAAACTGCATTGTCAATATCTTTTTTAGGGAAACACATTTGTCCCTTGATACTCTTGTTTTGGCACATCACAAATATGTTTCTGACTTCTGTTTGGGTCCCACGTAAAACCAAAAGACAACAAGTTTTCTGTAATTCTAAAGTCTGTAATTGAACAAACCCCTAACACCATATTCTAAGCCGAACCATGATCTTTACTTAAACCAACTAGTTTGGAACAAAGTTATTTTGTTGTATTTTAACTAAAACTGTTAAGCACAAGTTTAAAACTGTGACCCTCAGTAGGATGTTTCTTGGTTGTAATGACCAATAAAGCATCGTAAAGAGACGGTGCCAGATGACCGGTGAAAACGTTACAGATTTGTTGACGATCCACCTGCCCACCAATAGGGCAACCTAACAGGAGGCCCTGGTTTGCCAGATGGTCATTACAAATCTTGATGATATCATTTAATGTGAAGACGTGCTAGCACACAACATGCATAAAAACTGCAGACTTACCTCTGGGGCTGAAGTACTCTGCAGAGTATTTACCCGACAAGGCAACAACTGGCGGAATTTGACCAAGCAGCTCCATGATCTGGGCTATATGGTCTGAGGGGAAAGAACAGACATGCAAGCATGAGACACACAAGTGTACAGTACACATAAGCATACACTGCATCAACAGTTACAAGGCAGCAACAGTGTAATCCTATTTAATCCTGTGTCAGTGTTTGTCACGCCTCTGTCAGTGTCAGCAAACTGTACGAAATGTACCTTCCTCCAGAGAAATGGACTCGCCAGCTTTGGGCTCAAACAGGGAATCTCCAGTGACCAACTCAAAGGCCTGAGAGAATGCAAGAGAAAACATAAAGGGTAAAATGTATGAGTTAGCGTCTATAAAGGACCTAACATGGACTCATCACACAAACACCATCACCAAAACAGCGGCTCTTCTTCCTCCGCAGGCTGAGGAGGTTCAACATGGACTCCAGGATACTCTGCAACTTCTACAGGTGCACCATAGAGAGGATCCTGACCTTATACAGGTGCACCATAGAGAGGATCCTGACCTTCTACAGGTGCACCATAGAGAGCATCCTGACCTTCTACAGGTGCACCATAGAGAGGATCCTGACCTTCTACAGGTGCACCATAGAGAGTATCCTGACTGGCTGCATCACGGCCTGGTACGGCAGCTGCACCGCCCTCAATCGTAAGGCTATACAGAGTGTGGTGAAAATTGCACAGAACATCACCAGGACGGAGCTGCCATCCATGGAGGACCTTTACTCCCAGCGGCTCAGGAAGAAAGCCCTCCGGATTATAAAAGACCCCCATCACCCCAGCCACAAACTGTTCTGTCTGCAGGTGGTACCGCAGCATCCGGACAACAAACCCAAGACTCACTGACAGTTTCATCCCGCAGGCCATAAGACTACATACAGTCTGAGCTTGCACTATTATTATTATTGTTGTTATTTAAAACAACATTTCTGACACTCCCTCTGACCAAGTATAACTTTGAGAAAATTGTTAACAGTTTAGTGTCATTTACAATTGTAAAATGCACTTGTAGGATTCCTCAAGGCCTGGTATTAGGCCCACTATTATTTTACTTTGTAAAGAAATTTGACTTGATGTTTCCCCGAAACATTAAAGTTTATTGTTTTTTCATTTGTTTTTCTTTTCAGAATGTGAAACATTTATTTGATAGCATTTTTAAATTACACATCTTTAAGACATTAAGCCTTCCTTTGATTCTTATTGTGGCGCAAATTGCTACAGTGAATGCCATTTAAGGTGGTAAAAAGTAACTGGTGTAACTGGTGGGACAGTTGGTAAAAGCTTTGTTGAAACTCACAGAACTTTATTATAACTGTAGTCAAAGATACAGTTTGGTTACATCTCAGGAGAAATCCATATACAATGATTCTCACCATTATTTCCATTTGATGAAATGATCTCAAACTGTATTTTACGCAGTGTAAACATCATACAGTGTGCTTTTCACTCACCATGCAGGCAACACTCCAGATGTCAGCGGACGGGCCGTACTCAGATCCCAGTAAAACCTCCAGTGAGCGGTACTGACGGGTCTGAATCTCCTCACAGAAATGTTTGTACTTCACCAAGAAAGAGAGGGACAGACATAAAGATCACAATTATATTGTACACCCTCATGTACTATAAATTATTCTTAATTAAAAAAACATCTAGCTTAATTGGAATAAACAAGGCCATCATTGATATTAAGTCAATGCTACAATGCAAATCTTACTATGCAAATCTTTCAATGATAAGATGTGAGCATTATTTGTGCACCAATCAGAATTAACTTGAGTGCATATGAAAATGTGATGACAGTCACAGGGTTGTTTGCCTATCTTAGTTTCACATCAAGCAGTTTTGGAGTTTCCTTAGCAAACAAATGTAGCATCCCCCAGGTATTGATATGTCAGACTTTGCTTTAAAATGGCTGTATGTCAAGTTAATCAAGCAACTATCTTCTTATTATAGACACGTGAATTTCTAAACATTTGGTCTACCTATGTTGTAAATGTATTATCTCTTCGATTTACACACGGCATCTATTGCACGTCTGTCCGTCCTGGGAGAGGGATCCCTCCTCTGTTGCTCTCCTTGAGGTTTCTCCCATTTTTCCCTTTAAACTGTGGGTTTTCTCTGGAAGTTTTTCCTTGTACGATGTGAGGGTCTAAGGACAGAGGGTGTTGTTTTCTCATACTGATATTCTGCACAAATAGTGCTGTTGTATTTGTTGTAAAGTGTCCTTATTGCAAAGTATTTTTACCCTATGTACAGCACTTTGGCTTGACCAAAAATCGTTTTAAAAATGTGCTATATAAATAAAACTTGATTTGATTTGAACTACTGACCACCCAGCAGGAGCTTCCTAGGTCTGCAATCTTCACTGTAAAGTCCTTTAAACTGTAGGAGTTAATCTGCCCTTTCTCTGAAAGAAACAAGAAATAATGTATTAGCATCTTAGTAAAAATATATGATGTCATAAGATAGTTTCTCCATGTCTGATATTTGAGATTGTATGCATTTTGCATCTTAAGTTATAAAGAATAATTTGTTTTCTTCCTTAGTTAGTTTAGATATCAGTACAACACACTAATATTTACAATATGCGTTTAAAGAGCAGAAGATACATTTGAAACCAGACATTTGCACAGTAATAGGCTAAGAGTTCATCTGCTTTATACTCAAATGTGATGAACCCTGCATAGCAGCTCAGACAGCTCAGCTGGTATCCGTCCAGCTTCAAGACTTCACTCAAACAATCTCCAGCATCTGTAGCAATAAGAAAAAAAAGTGCCTGTGGACTTGGCCTCTTTCCCATTGAGCACAGAGGAGGAGCTGCTCTCCCCTGTTGGTGCTTTGTGGGACTGCTCCTCCATACACAGCAGGATGTTCTCAGGCTTGATGTCTGTGTGGATGATTTTACACTGCGTGTGAAGATGTTCCAGGCCCTGCAGAATCTAGAGAGAAAGAAACAGCAAAACAGAGACATTGGGTAATCTAAACACATATTTATCCTCTGCCTTCAATTGTGCAAACCCAGTGTGTTGAAATGTAAACGTAAGTGGTATACACAAAACATCTCAAAAGGTTGACATTATCAATATACTTTACTTCAGTAGAGGCAATTGTTGATAAGATGGGTCTAGCTACTATCCTGTTAAGCCCCAAGCCTGTTTTCACGTCTCAGGCTCGAAAATGACATTTCCAGAACAAATGACCATAACTACACTTCTAAAAGGGGAAAATTAATAGTCTTTTTTCTCAAAGTAATGATAAACCTGTGAGTTGGATGTAGAAAAGTCAGAATCAATATAGATGTTTTTTATTTTAAAGAAAATTCAGATTGAACATAGTAAAAAACTGTAGATTATAGTGTCCGTCCAAAATTACCCTTGGATGATGGTAAGGTAGACTAAAAGCTTTAGGAATCCAAAGTACAACATATAATAAGTACCCTGTATCAATATTGATGCAAAACAAGTGACATTTGACCTTTTTAGAGAGGTTTAGCAAAAAAAACTCCACCTCTGGGGTCATTTGGGTGGAAATGGACGTTGTTGCCGTTTCTCTGGAACCCATTGGTCGATTTTGATGATTGACATCTCTTTTGAACCGTTAGAGCCAATAGAATCGAAGGGACATTTCCACATACACACCAATGTTACCATTGAGAAGTGGGGGCTATGCGCACGCAGTTTGCCAAAAGCGAAACCTATTTTACGCTCTGAAATCCGAAAACTAGGTTTATTGCTGATGGATTATCAGAAATAATTTCAAAGTGACACAGACACATTGGATTGACCTATGGATTAACCTTCAGCAGCGTTTTGATCGTTTAAATGCCATTGAAGACAACTTTTAATCAGACAACAACAGAGGTTAGTTCTGCGTATAGGTACGCCAAACCGGTACTGGACTTGTAAAAAGTTTCGGTTCAAGTCCGGTTAAAACCGGAACGTCGGGAACCGGTACTTGGACTCGCAAACAAACTAGCACTTACATATATTCTCCTTTTTGTTATAAACCATCTAAAACCTTCCATAGATCGAGAAATGTGCGCTGAGAAAAGACGAAAAACATCGTGTCGGCTTCTGATATGGCGGCCATTACTGAACTCACGAAGTCTCGCAAAATATCGCAACTGCTCGCGAGATCTGTGTGACGTCAAGGGAAGCTAGCGATGTGATTGGCTTAGACATAGTGGACAGCGTGGTCGAGTAGTAGTCACTACAGTGTATACTGTATAGTAGGTGTGTAACAGTGTAATGCGTATAGTCTACTCCAGTGGTTCCCAAACTTTTTGTGCCCAAGGCACACCAAAGGACAAGTAAAAATCTCAAGGCACACCTATTGTGCAAAATAGCCCTCATAACACGTGTTATCACTCATATCATGTAAAATATGCATATGTGCATAATTATTTACTAATGCCAAATCAAATGTGACAAAGACAACTATATTACTCGTGAAATATTTATTAACGAAATATTTCAGAAATGAATTTGAAACTTTATCAAATTAGGCTTCATCAAAGCAGCAACACACTCATTTAAACCAGACAGGTCACAACATTAAAAATGAGGCAAAGGAAACTCAGCAGAAATTCAGCACAGAGAACTGTCAATGCAAGGAAGCTGCATTGTCCATGGTCCTGAACTACAAATTATAAATGTAACATTTCAGCAATCAGCATTGAAACATGTGCTATTGTAAATATTTTGCCGATATATTACACTACTTCGTTACTATCTACATAAAGTAACTCGTTACTTTACTCGCCGAGCACATGCGTGAGTGGCAATAACTTTCCTTACCAGCAGGCGGCGGTAGTGTGTATTTGTCATTCAAAACAGACAACAACCGGAAGACAGAGAAGAAGAACAGACTGCGTGATATAAACAAACAACAAATAGTGTGTGCGGTAGCTTCACCTTAGCATGTGTTCTTTGCAGGTGTGTGTTGAGGTTTGACGTGGTGTTTCCAGCAGTGGATAACAGCTTCTGGCCTGGACACAATTTGCACCTCACCGTCACATTCCTGTCTATTCTTCGGACGAACTCAAAATAATGGGCATACCTCCACCCCTCGAAAGTTATCGCTGACTCAGCCATGTTTATGCAGCACTGCACGTGGAGATGTGGACGCGCAAGTCGCGCAGATTACGTACATATATAAACCTACAAAGTACTGATATAGTACCTTAAAAAATAATTATTTTTGTGAAGTTGTATATTGCAATAATAACGTATGGTTGTCACAAAATCCCACGGCACACCCGAACTTGCCTCACGGCACACCAGTGTGCCGCGGCACACCGTTTGGGAACCACTGGTCTACTCTACACTACCTTTCAGCAAAGTTTTAGGGATTTAGGCTCAGTCAGCTCAGGGACTGTTTGGTTACTTTAGTTTGGTAAATGAAATAAATGTTTGAACTTTGTAGTAGTTCACTGTAGTTGCTGTCATAAGTCATTTGTAGACTAAGTGGCAAAAAATGTTTTTTTTACATTTGTACTTTGTAGAGAAATGTAGACACAAGTTGGAAGGGAGCACAATAAACCTGACAAGTTTGAATTTGAGCTGATTATGAGTTTATTTTCAATTGATAATTAGCTCACAATAAGTTCACTTTAGTTACTCACACAACTTGACACAAGCCATGGGTTCAGGTCCGGACTTATAAGTCCGGACCTGAACCTGAACCTGAATGTGAGTCCAGGTACGCAGCACTAGGTAAGACATATTGCCGTGTTTGCTACCTAATGCCACGTGTTGTGATGTCTGTTTTTGTTTCTAATGTCACGAGTTCTGTTCATGGAGTGATGATATAGATACCTATCAATTCTGTGTATTCTCACAATGCTAATCGATATGTTGGATGTGCAGTTACGATAAATAATAAGGGTGTTATACCGTGAGTTCTGTGCTAACGGCATTATCATTTTTCGCTCAGGGCTAATTCAGAGGCTCAGCGTTAGCCTTGTGTTTTTTTTTGAAAAAAAAAAAAAAATCATCAGTTAGCTGAGTTTCTTCCCGTTGCATGGACATGAAACATTCATAGTTTATTACATCTTAAGAAGCCCTCAGACACTGTTGCTTGCAGATGTTGTGGTTTCGGACCCGCCGAAGGGTCCGAGGGGCTTAAGAGGCTAAGTACAAACGGCATGTAGAGAGCACCAAATCGATGGCTTCGGGACTTCTCAGTTAACATTTCTGTCAACAACATTATCAGCAACATTTCTGTCTTCAATGTTTCCACAGATGGATTCCTGACTATTTGGGCTGACAAGGTGGTGAAACTGTCACAAAACATAATTTTCTCCTGGGATTAAGAAAGTATTTTTGATTGACTGATTGATCCAAGTCAATTCTGACATTGAAGGCAAAATAGTTTTCTCTGTCTAAATGTTAACACTGAACACTGAATTTCTTAAAATCGTATCCGTGGAAAGAGTTTTACAAAATATCTAATTCTTAAAGTTTCCTAAACAATGTTGGTTACAATACATGACAAATACTGTAGAAGAGGCAACGTTTAGAAAATACCTGTGTCAATGTATACTAAGTTTTAATCTTAGTTTTCTGAGGTTTTCTTTACCTGGGTCAGTATTTGTTTGACAGAACGCTGCGCCAGTCCAGGATTCCCAAAACAGAGCTGCCAGCTCCTCAGGTCGGGCCCCAACAGCTCCAGCACCAGACACATGTCTAACCACCAGACATTAAGGTCCGTTGTACAGGTCTGTAGACTATTCACTAGGTATTAAGTGTATGACACAATGCAAAACTGTCTGGTTCTAACATCTCTGAAAACAATGCTCTGGTAGAGATTGCAGAGATGTGTTCAATATATAAAATAAAGTTGATATTGACAGTCTGACCAGCACAAACCCTCACACATGAAAACTCTTCCGATCTGGCTTATGCCCAGTCTGTAAAAAGGATACGGACCCCGTTGACCCCGGCCAGCTTGAACTCATCGAGCAACTGAACGATCCTTTGACTAGAGGGACGACGGCTCGTAGGACCGGTTGCCTGATTAAAGAGAGAAGGGAAGGAGCTTTACAAGTAAGACTAAAAAAGCAGACAATAAATAAGACATAAAGAAGAAAACGATGAAAGGGCATTACGAATGTTGTACATTGCAATTTAGCATTGGTGAGGGTATTGTAGGGTGGAAAGGGATATAGTTGACAAGGGGTATACAAGAATTGTAAAGCCAAGTGCTTGGACAAATAGTAAGATAAATAGCATTTGACAGAAAGGGTAGGACATGATAGACAGTAGGAACAGCGGTCACTGACGCATCGTAGGAGAGCCAGTTCATCCTGTCCTGCCTGGGTGAAACCAGCTCCGCTCTTCAGGACCTTCACAGCAACGCTCCGACCCAGCCTGCTAACACAGACATTACATCAGATCTGCCCTGGGAAAGGAGAGCTGCTGAATCCACAGAAGAATGTATTTGTAATCATCATAAGAACCAAGTGAAAGAAAAGGGAATGTACAAAAACTATTAGAGGTGACTGGGTGGTTAAAAACAAAATGTGGTAAAATATATTTATGTACAATTGTTTGTTTAGTTGGTTATTTCGATGTTGTTCTAACTTGAATTATATCTTATTGTTGTCATTCCTCAGTTATAATCATTAATCATTCTCATGATTAATGATAGGAATGTGTACGTGTTTGTGTTCTTAGATCTGCTTATAACAATATTTCTCCATCCCTTCAGAGTATCGTTGAAGACCCACAGTCCAACTTTTAATTACTTTTGTAGTTATTGTGGGTCATTGAAATCATTTCCAATTTTAACAAATAATGATATATTGCATATATTACATTAGGTATACATTTTATTTTAATAAAAGCAAAACTAGCATATTGCACACAGTAAGCTATTTAACTTGGGAGGTAACTTTGCACCCAAAGCTTCCCCTTTTTTTAAATGATTTGTTAAGTAAATGTGGTATTATCAGGTCATAAAGCCTTATTGATGTTGTTGTAAGTGTGATGATTCTGTTTAGTTTTGGTTTTGTTGTGTGCTTTTTTTGTGTTTTCTTCTGTTTCCCCCCTCCCTTCTCTGTTTTTCACTGCAGGGCTGGTGTGTGACAGGGAGTTGGCTGGCTCCTCCCAGCAGCAGACGAGGCACACCTGTTTCCACTCACCTCTTCACCTGTTGACATAAAAGCCCGGTCCTCATGCCACTTCCCTGCCAGATAATTCCTTTGTGTTCGACCCTCTGGTGTGTCTCGCTGCTCTCCTCGTTCCTGTGATCTCTTCGCCTGGATTTTTGCCTCCTGTCCCTGACGTCTCCGTGCCAGCCAGCTTCCTGCCTCCACTGCCGTTTACTGTGCCTCTGCTTAAAATAAACTTTTTGATTTTGACCCTCTCTCTCTAAGTATTTTGCTTTGGGGTCCAATATCTCTAGGCCGTAACAGTAAGTTCCCAGCTTTGAAATTGAAAGTAGTCAACAGATAGGAACCAAGACTGATAGCTTCAGTTTAGGCAAAAACAAGACCCACAAAAGGGTAGTTCAAGGTCATTATTTAATATTAAAAATAGAGATTTTTCTAAATTATTTATAAAGGTGTGCAACTTTGCTAAGAAAAATTGTATAAAACAGAACTCAATTGTGGTAACTGATGCATTTTTTTTAAAATGTCAAGTAGTAGCGAACAATTGCATCGGAGCGAGCTTTGGTTGCATGCAGGTAAAAAGAGTTGGAACACATTGGCCAGAAAGCAATCGCTGAACCCATTGAACGTAGGACAAAGAATACACTTTTTAATGGTGATACAATTAACTATTAATGATTAATTGTTGATTGACTGGGCGTAGACATTTTCTCTCAACTCCCACTCCATTGGGGTGAAGTTACGTTCAGATGTAAACATGACCATTGCAAAGAAAATGAAGTCTTGGCCCAGATATCCAAAGGCTACACCAGAACCATGGAAATATCTGCGTTGGCTAAATCGTAATACCGATAGCCGATGGGTTCCGAGTCAAGAGTAGGGTCCATATAAATAGAAAATAAATGTAACCCTAACCCTAATTGTTGTACAGGTGCTAATTAAACCTACCTGAGGTCCTGACAGAGCCAGACGGTGGAGAAATAGCCCCATCCTAACTTAGACACCACCTGGTATCGTCTGTTGAATGTGTCACCTATATGGACAGGGTGGTATCCACCTGAAAGTTAAAAACAAAAGAGAAAGCTTATATTATTCAATGACAGAAATGTGAAACCTTTAAATCTTACAAAACACATTGTTCAACTGGTGTATAGAAAGCTTAGAGAGAAATGACTAAATGTGGCACTAAAGCTATTTCTGGTATTGCAACTTCCTCTAAGCTATAACATGTCTGTGGTGAGTGATACATTAAAATCTCCCAGCGAGACATGATGCATGAGCCCGGATCAGTTCTGTCAGCCAGCATGACACAAAGGTTTCGGACGTCGTCAGAGATCTAGAAATCGCATCTCTATATCTACTAAAAGTGAGCATGATATATATATATTTTTTGCCGAGTCAGGTATATGTGGTTTCACATACTCAGCAGGTTATTTGGAGGTTTAATATGGAGTCAGATTTGGGTCAATATTCTAGCGCGTAAAACAAGCTACTCACGAGCGGAAAATGTGCTTTTACACGTGCATAAAATGACTCTCGCGCACAGATTAAACCCCCCCGAGTGGCTATGCGCTCGCTCGCGAGAGAGACAGCCCTCTTGCTCCCTCGCGGGAGTGTCAGCCTCACTCGCTCGCAGAGTCTGTCTACGCGCGCGTGAAAAGTTTCTGACACTTTGGGGCGGAGCCACTGGACTTTGATTGACAGCTGCCAGGAACCCCGGAGTTGCCAGGTTTGATAAATGCCTGAACTACCAAGAGCCGAGGAGTGACAGCTGCAAGATCAGTTGGACGAGATTGAATGGTAAAGTTGTCCATAAAAAACTATTATATTCGTAAAGTGTACAGCTAATATATATATCAATTCATTTGATATAAAAAATGACATTAATTCTAGGAGTGCAATACTTTTACAAACACTATAGTAATAATATGCATTCACTATGACAATATCATGCTATTAGGAGTGTTCTACTGTATAGTGTGTTTAAAAAACAACTACAGAAACACTATATATTATACTATTTAAAATAATATAGGAATACTACAAAGATCTAGATACAGAGTATTACTATTGAAATATTATAGGGCTACTATAGCTAATAAAATGGCACTACAGAAAAAACTATAGTAATACAATAGCTGCTGAAAAATACTACAGAACACTACAAACTTACTATAGGACACTATACAACTCTTATAGTATACTATAGTAATAGCCTACTATAGTTCATTTATAGTTCATTTCGTAAGGGAGGTGCATACAGCAGACAGTATAGTAGCAGTTTTCGACAGATACAGCCCACTCAAAAATATATTGTTTTATATAAAATTAATTAATATATATATTAGCTGTACACTTTACGAATATAATAGTTTTTTATGCACAACTTTACCATTCAATCTCGTCCAACTGATCTCGCAGCTCTCACTCCTCGGCTCTTGGTAGTTCAGGCATTTATCAAACCTGGCAACTCTGGGCTTCCTTGCAGCTGTCAATCAAAGTCCAGTGGCTCCGCCCCAAGGTGCCAGAAACTTTTCACGCGCGCGTAGACAGACTCCACGAGCGAGTGAGGCTGACACTCCCGCGAGGGAGCAAGAGGGTTGTCTCTCTCGCGAGCGAGCGCATAGCCGCTCGCGGGGGTTTAATCTGCGTGCAAGGGTCATTTCATGCGCGTGTAAAAGCACATTTTCCGCTCGTGAGTAGCTTGTTTTGCACGCTAGAATATTGACCCAAATCTGACTCCATATTTAAGCAGAGAACTGCACAGCTGGCAGGGATAGAAAGAGGAAGAGGGATCGAGGTCAGGATGCCACATTAGCAAAAATATTCTGCAACTTTAATTGTAATAAAATAAGGGAGGGACCGAGGTTGAGGGTCATGAGAACCATTCAAAGGTCACAAACCAAAAAAGCTTGGAAGGTATTTCACACTGTAAGATGTCCCGATCAAAACTTATCTCAGTTGTATTTTATAACCCCAGATGGTAAAGATTACCATTAGTTTACTTGGAATGGGTTTTATTAGCCTTGCTGTCACTCAAGAGCACAATAATCTCTATAAAAAGATATCTGCGTGAATGCAGAATCTCTACATAAAGATGTTAATATTAGAAGCATTCTTGTTTGTCATCCGAGTAGCCTTGACCAATCATGTTTGAGCGAACTTGGGTTCTTACAGGTAAAAAAACCATAAGCTAACTGTTGACAATGTATAGGCTTTAAATAGCTTATTATTTTATTTGTATTCATCTGTTGACCTCTGTGTACAGAGCTAAGCCTTATACGTTGTCTGTCAACTCAAACTCCATTCTTCTGTCTCAAGTTTCCAGTAGGACTGCAAAACATTACTACCTCAAAGAAAATAAATACTCTGGCCCCAATATCTGTAACATGTAACTGCCTTTAAAGCGCTAGCGGATAAATTCCGAGATTGAAGGGACATTGGTCAAGTAATACATTTCTCTACAAATATGAATGATTGCAATTGTTGTTGCTGACAATGGTGGCCTCCAATGACTTCAAACCAATCGGAATCTATAAATTCTTAAACATTTCTTGAAGGGGCTATTCCTTTTTGAAGCAAAATACATACCTTGTACTCCGGCCAATAGATGGCACTGTATACAATCGTGACAACTAAAAACTGCTGTACCACCGAAGAAGAAAAAAGTCACGGCTATTCAGTTAACGCGACCTCTGCTCAGGTGCGACTTGTAGTCCGGAAAATACGGTAGCTACAACCTTCCAAAAATTGGCGGAGGAGAAATATAACGGCATCCTGTTTTCTATTGATGTATTACTGACTGTATATATTTTAAACAGTGTCCTTCCTTAGCTTGCTTATACACCAGTCTATACTGTCGATGAACGCATCGTTTAGCGCAATACAGGCTGTACTGAGGGCATGAAAAGGCAAGTGTGACATTGGCAGCGTTGACATCTGCAGATGATGAATGGAGTTAAGAGACCCTGCTGTACCATAGCAGTATTCTCCAGGGTCCTCGGAGTCCTGGCTGTCCTTTGGATCCAGCTGCTCATGGCATCCAAGGGCCTCCAATTTATGAGATGACCTAGAAGCAGAAAAACAAACGTCATATCTTGATTCTATAGTCTCCAGCATTACGGCCTGTGCATCTGTTGTGTCAGTGTCGAGTTGCTGGGGGAAGCCGAGAGAGTTGAACTACTTTTAGAGTTTTGCAAAGGCTCATCTTGCATGGAAACTTGTCGCAGACTAAGATTGGACGAGCAGCATCGGAAGTGGCACTATTTCTGACTCAACAGTAAATCATTTTGCAGTTTGTTCATGCAACCTGATATCATCCCAGCTGATTTAGACATCTACTGTAACGGTGGATTTGGTCACGTCATGTCTGAGAATACTCAACACAGGTTAGATTTATGTATGGCTGGATGGGGATACAGTAGATTTACGATATGGCAGCCTAGTTCTGGGATTTACTGATCATAAAAAGTTCAGGAATTCAAAATGTTATAAAGGTTTGATGACTGATGGTATGAGGGCTGTTTTACAATACCGTTTAGGTCACCTCTGTGATGTCTAAAATAACATGCTTTTTTGTGCAGTGCTAAACTTAACAACATTGCTGTTGTCATGGAAAAAAAATACATTTAGTAGCCAAACTGCATATTGAGTTTCATAAAAATGAAAATTAATCTATGAAAGAAAACACAATGTATTTTCAGCTAGGAGAATTATTGATTATTTTTGTCCTTTCAGGTTTAAAAACACAAGCCGTCTGCAGGTAAAGAGTTGGTTGTATTGCGATGACATCTATCGTTTTTCTCACAGATCTAAAAAGTTTCCGTACTTACGTATGATTCTGCTCAGATGCTATATTATCGGAGCGTGGAGTTCTCTGCATGGTGTAGTTCAGCAGGTGCTAGCTGAGTAATGACCTGGTACCTTGAGTAAAAAAGTGGTGGATATCCAAAGCAAGCAGAGTTCAAACTTTTTGCACAAAGCAAGAAGAGAGACAGAACAATAGCGATAGAAACGGTTGGACTACTTAAAAACAGTAGAAGGGGGGGGATCAGGGGTTCTGCAGAGCCTGGAGCCGTAGTCAGCACGGTCTAAACATGGAAATCCCCAGCAGCCTTTTAATTAACTAACCGTTTCTCACATTTAAATCCTTCACTCCCGGTCTTCCTCACTGTATCTGTATTCCTTTGGGAAAGACAAAACAGAGATCAGAGGGGGCTTACAAACCAGCACTTCACAAGGAGAGAGAGAGAGAGAGAGAGAGAGAGAGAGAAGAGAGAGAGAGAGAGAGAGAGAGAGAGAGATGAGAGAGAGAGGATGAGAGAGATAGAGAGCGAGAGAGTCCGATAGAGAGTATAGAGCGAGCGAGTTACGACGACCCATAAAGACGTATATGCCGTCTCGCAAGTACAGCTGCTGCGTTCTTATTTCCCACCCGTCTCAAGGGGAGTTTGTCGAACCCTTTGGCCGCTGGATCACTAAATGCTAACCTGCTTGAAATGGGATCCCCGTCCCCAACAATATCACCTTCTTTGGAAGAAGGTCGGGGCGGAGACGTGTTGTATACACGTGCAGACTATTAATTGTGAAAATGTCATATATTATAGTTTGGTATTATATGATATATTAATGCTGTCAAAATGATCGCGTTAACGGCGGTAATTAATTTTTTGAATTAATTGCGTTAAAATATTTAACGCATTTAACGCATGTGCAGAATGGCCCGCCCCATACGTGCCACCAGTGGCAGCACCAGGGGGTAGGCTACACCCATACCAAGAAATGGCTTAGCCCCACCATGAAAAATGATGTTAAAGCAAGCAAAATAAAGTCCGCCAACTCGCGCCGAGTAAATTGCACAGACAGCAGTTAGTAAGATTGATTTCAGTAGCCACTTGTCTGGAAATACCGAAGACCAGAAACGGTTTTGAAAACTTTTGTCACTTAGTGATCGTCTTCTCAATAGAACATCTTTGATAATGTCTTCTGGCCAATCAGAATCAAGATAACGGCGTGGTGTTGTCCCGACGGAGAATACTTTTGCTGTAGTAGGTACGGTGGCCCTGAAGTGCAAGACACCACAGCATTTCACAAAACGATACAACATTTCACAAAACGCTACAGCATTTCACAAAACACCACAGCATTTCAGAAAACACAACAGCATTTCACAAAACGCCGCAGCATTTCACAAAACGCCACAGCATTTCAGAAAACACAACAGGCTTGTTTGAGACAAGCGAGACCTGCGCAGTTGCGATCAACGTCTTGCTAGTGCGTTGCATGATGGTTAGTCATTTTGTCCGACTTGCTCTGGAGGCTCGCCTACATGAGACGTTGAAATCTCGCGGGACAAAGACGCCCGCAGCCTTGAGAGCGAGGCGCGGCGAGGCGGCGCAGTTCCTCTCCACGGGCTGCGGAAGCGAAATGCTTGATGGGAAACGACTCGCTGGTATCTCGAGCTGAGCGCTCATTGGTGGTTTTTACCCCGTGCTGGTGATGAAACTCTCCAATTGGCTCAGTAAAAGTTTGTTGTTGTTTTGTGTCAGTTTTACGTCGTCACATCCATTCCCATTTTTCATCATTGTTCCACAATGTTTATCATCATGAAATTAATATCCATATATTTTATACTATACTTGCACTGCTTACCGTTTTCATACTTTATATATCTTAGCACATTCATACACACTGTTCATACTGCTCACAGGCTGATATCTAGTGTATTCATACCCCTCACTGTTTATTCATCATTCAATTCATTCTATATTTTATTCTGTCTATTGTGTACATTACTTTTCACTTCACTGCTTGTTGCACCTGGTTAGAAGCTAAACTGCATTTCGTTGTCTCAGTACCTGTAATATGGGCAATAACATTAAAGTTTAATCTAATCTTGAGCAGGAACAAATGTATTTACTTAGTACATATCTGACATTAACGATTAAACACATGTGTGCATTCTTTATAAATGCAAACCGAGTCAAACCGACTCCGGAGGTGGCGGTATGCACCTTAAAGTTGTTTGCAATCCGCCAAAAAACCGAGAGAAGAAGAAGAAGAAGACGAAGCCGAGTCCGAGCTGTCCGACTTCAGGCGAGCTTTTTGAGACCTCCCCCGGCTGCGATCGGCTATTCTCGTCTACTTTCGAGGCGAGCCGCAACGCGTCTCAAACAAGCCTAACAGCATTTCAGAAAACATCACAGCATTTCACATTGGACGGAAAGGGTATTCCTTAGGGAGAACACTTCTTGTTTGTGATTGGACAGAGCCAGCCATAGAAGCACTGCTGTGATTGGTTGTTTTTGCTGCCAGTCAAGAAATGACGCTGCGTGATTGGCCCAACACATCAGCCGTTAGCTGTTAGCACACACTCAGAGCTCACAGCTCCTCATATCTGTTCAGAAACTGGACAAAAGTTAAACATACAAAACACAGACTGTCTATGTCATTTTGAATACAGTCGCTGCTTTATTTATGTCTGTATGACGTTGTTGTGAGTGTTGACGGAGCAGCTACAGGTTAGTTTAGCCTGATCGATCCGATTCCGATAGGATTTACATGGAGATACGGCCCGCCCCCTCTCCAGCGTCTTGTTTGAATGACAGGAGTAAACACAGAATTAATGCTTTATTAATTCATGGTTTTTAAGGGGCTTATCTCCATATAAATACTATGGGAGATACCAACTACAACTAAATGAACATATTTGACCGTGATTTAATTGTAATACACGTTTCAAAGTGATGCCGAAGTAACTACATACTGATAACGGTTAGTAAAAACCATGAATTAACGCTTTGACAAGTCTGCAGATAAGACGGCAGGCGAAAAGCTTTTAAAATGCGTGTTTTCTGAATGGAATCGGATCCATCAGGCTAAACTAACCTGTTGCTGCTCCGTCCACACTCACAACAACGTCATACAGACATAAATAAAGCAGCGACTGTATTCGCCATGACACAGACAGTCTGTGGTTTGTACATGTTTAACTTTTGTCCAGTTTCTGAACATATGTTTGTTTGTTTGTTTGTAGCCTTTATTTAACCAGGTGAAGCCCCTTGAGATCAAAAGATCTCTTTTTCAAGGGTGACCTGCAGGACATTAGTTACACATGTAACGTAAAAACAACAGAACAACAATAAGGATGACAAACAACATAATGTACAGGGTACAATATATGAGGAGCTGTGAGCTCTGAGTGTGTGCTAACGGCTGATGTGTTGGGACATATTTCGCTGTTGGGTGTTGACCAATCATGAAGCGTCATTTCTTGACTGGCAGCAAAAACAACCAATCACAGCAGTGCTTCTCTGGCTGGCTCTGTCCAATCACAAACAATAAGTGTTCTCCCTAAAGGAATACCCTTTCCGTCCAATGTGAAATGCTGTGGTGTTTTCTGAAATGCTGTTGTGTTTTCTGAAATACTGTGGCGTTTTCTGAAATGCTGTAGTGTTTTGTGAAATTCTGTTGTGTTTTCTGAAATGCTGTGGCGTTTTCTGAAATGCTGTAGTGTTTTGTAAAATGCTGTAGTGTTTTGTGAAATGCTGTAGTGTTTTCTGAAATGCTGTGGTGTCTTGCATTTCAGGGCCACCGTAAGTAGGTGCACATAACTGGTACGCATGCGCGGCAACAATCTGAAATGCGTACCGTCACTTGTGTCACAAAGCGCATTTGCGTACCGACGTACTTGTGAAGCTTTTCCAGAAGGCGGTTAGATCACCCGCCCCCCACCTGTGTTGATAGAAATCAACACGTAATGAAATAAGACCCCACACGGTTTGATGATTGATAGGTGTGTGGGCCGACTTTCATTTTCACACACAGAACAATGTTATAATAAACATACATACATAGGCTACTGTATGTTAAATGGATATATCCGCCTTCTTTCATTTATCTTTCCATTCCCACAACAATATACATAAAGAAATGGCATACTTTGGACATAGGTCCTTTGGCGACATTCCAGGATCCCGCCTACTGCAAAACAGACCAGAACCAGGTTACGACATGCTTTTATTCCGGCACTGATTACCTGATTCCGATCAGCTGTCTGGCCTCCGGCCGAGCCACTCCCTTCACTCCAGCAGCCAGCGCCCTAACCACACCCCACCGCCCGACTCAGGCCGGGATCCCGCCGGCCGCAAGCTGACTCTCTCCTCCCCCCCCCCCCCCCCCCCCCCTCCGCTGAGCGAGAGAGGAAATCAGCCATGACCATCCGGTTACCCGGCCTGTGGATCACCTTGAAGTTGAAAGGCTGTAACGCCAGATACCACCGAGAGTGATCCGAGCGTTGGCATCCTTCATGCGGTGGAGCCACTGGAGCGGGGCATGGTCCGACCAGAGGGTGAAAGGGCGCCCCAGGAGGTAGTACCGCAGGGCACCGACCGCCCACCGTATGACGAGGCACTCCTTTTCCACCGTACTGTCGTTCACCTCCCTCTGGGCGAGCATACGGCTAATGTACAGTACGGGGCGGTCGACCCCCTCTACTTGCTGGGACAAAACGGCCCCCACCCCACTGTTCGAGGCGTCGGTCTGCAACACAAAAGGGAGAGAGAAGTCAGGAGAATACAGAAGCGGCTTACCACAGAGGGCTTTTTTAACCCTCTCAAACGCCAGCTGACACCGCTCCGTCCACTGGACCGGATCTGAAGCACCCTTTCGGGTCAGGTCGGTCAGGGGACTGGTCAGCTCCGAAAAGGACGGGATGAACCGCCTGTAGTAGCCGGCCAGCCCCATGAACCTCCTGACCTCTTTTTTCGTCTTGGGCGCCAGACAGGCTGAAATGGCGGTTGTTTTCTCTACCTGTGGCCGCACCTGCCCACCGCCCAAGTGGTACCCCAGATACCGTACCTCCCTCCGTCCAAACCGCACACTTCTTCGGGTTGGCCGTGAGCCCCGCCTGCCTCAGGGACTCGAGCACTGCCCCCACCTGCTGCATATGCTGCTCCCATGTCCCACTGTGAATGATGACATCCTCCAAGTAAGCAGCAGCATATGCAGAGTGGGGACGCAGCACCCGGTCCATGAGCCGCTGGAAGGTGGCTGGAGCTCCGAACAACCCGAAAGGAAGTGTGATGAATTGGTATAAACCATACGGAGTGGAGAAGGCCGTTTTTTCCTTAGACTCTGGAGAAAGGGGAATCTGCCAATAGCCCTTGGTTAAATCCAGCGTTGTGTAAAAGCGAGCAGTGCCTAGCCGATCTAGGAGTTCGTCG